GCAGATAACGAATCTAATATTGATCTACATAACCGCACTGCAGCTGATGCGAGACTTTCCCAGTCATCATTATCATGGTCGTTTTTGCCAAGAACTGTGTTACCAATCTACACTGACGTATTCTTCCTAGTCACAAATTTTTTCTTGAATAAACAAATAGATAACATTTAACCAAACGCTTCGATCAGAATTTAAAGGCACTATGATCGTGTGTCAATTCTTTTGCCTCATGCGTTAATTAATTTAACCGCTTCCATTTCAATTCTGTTAACTGTAGACGTTATGGTTTCTCATTAAAACTACACAAAATGACAATTCTCTACTCATTGGTTAAGAGATTGGAACTGATTAAAGCTAATTTTTAATAGGTTCAGACCATAATTTATGGACAACCATTGAACGACGCCGAACTGACCTTTTGTGTCTACCTTCTTACTAGGACTAAAGCGGGTTATAAACCAGTTTGAACAGAAGGGATTAGGATTCGCAGTTGATGGTAAGAGTTAGGAATCAGATTAACGGTTTTTCATCACGAACTCACATCAGCTAAAATGTCAAGACGATATCTGGCCTGATGGATGAGTGAATTACACACCAAAATCCGAGACCTGTTATCTTAAACTTGATTGGGTCCTCCATATTCTCGCCTCTCAGTAGCAACTGTAGGGAGTAACTTCCTACAGGTGTAATTCCAAACTATTCTCTAGACTGTCGAAAACAGAGTGTGGTAACCTACTTTTATCAAGAGAACGCGTTTGGTGTAATGGAAACAATCATTATTATAACCGATTGTACCAGTGATTGTTTTACCGTACTTGTTTGTTTATCTGTACTAAAGACATTCTTCCTTCCTTCGAGTGTGACCTTGCACGAATTCGGTTACGCTCAGTAATCACACCTGTACTCCTTCGGCACGATCTCGGTATTCTTTCGATACCACGAGATCGCCAACTAATACATCTCGACTAAAGCCATCAACTGCTTTCTGATATTTGGCCTACGGAGGGGTATAGCCTGGTAACTGGCACGTAGTCTTCCTGTAGTGGTGATCATAGTCAACCGCGACTCGATGCCACACTACAAGAGTCGTAGCTCAGCTTAACCAAAGTCAGTTCAAGTAAGCTATTCGGCTTGAAAAACTTTATCTGTTTCTAAAACGTAAATCAACACTGTCACTATACAAAATAAACAATACAGTCTATAAATCAGGGAAAAGGAAAAACAGAAACAACATACCGAACAGTAACTTGACTATAGGAGAAATGAGTCAACAAAACGAATATTGATTTAAGATGAACATAAAATTGTGATTGGTGGATAAACAAGGCAGAGTCAAGGTCAAAGAAAGCTGATGTGTTGGTGGGAATTTCATGTTAGCATTGGTGAGTTCGTTTATCGATCACACGTAACAGCAACTACGTTTAAATAACCATACATTTCTATAAAACCAACTGTAGAGCATCTTACACTTATCAGATTAGATTAGTAGCCTTAGGATCTTACTAAAGCTTTTTACTTTTTTTCTAATATTCACAACTGATTCCATACAAGGAAGATGCAGACTACTTCGGTGGGGTCTGCATCATCATCGTAATCGATGGTTGGAGACTCTGGGTGACATGACTCAGAATCGATCACAACGGCCTCGGTGTACATACTCTCTGTCTTCCTGTACTATGCCCTTATATGCAATCTTTCTCTTATATATTACCACCGAATTAACCACTTCTAGGAATCCGGTGTTCCTCTTACTGTGCTAATGCAGTATGCCAAATTGAACTGATGCACATATATGCCTGGTCCTACGTTGTAGCTGAAAGAAAGACAGACAGACTGACTGACTGGCTTTCTGACTGACTGACTGACTGCTGACTGACTGACGACTGCTGACTGACTGACTGACTGACGATACAAGGAGTATTCTAATACATTTGAAGTACTAAATAAAATGATATGTGACCTAATTTACTTAACTGATGTAACTGGTTTCTTTTGTAAACAGATTGTTACACTGAAATCTGTAAATTAGTAGTAGTCAGAGTAATATCTTCATTATGTTATAGGTCAAATATTGTTTACATTCTTATTTACAATGTTGCATTTATAAAAATCACAAATTGAGAATATCTTCTGAAAAGAACATTTCTCTCTCAGGTTTAGTTCGAAGTTTTTCAGAGGTCATGAAACCATTTTGCACTCATTTGGTGTGTACTACTCATCTCGACAGATATAAGTAGTATGTATCATCAATCGAAAGTGAAATGCCTGGCGACATAATGTTAATTAGATCGAATGAAAGAGAACGAGAACAGAGAATGATTGGTGAGTAAACGAAATAACAATGAACTCTGAGACGATTGATTGACATTTGGCAAATGAAGAATTTACTGTATGGTTCTGAGATTTTATTAAGATGCTCTGTAATTTTGTACTGTAGTACATTAAGTTGACACCGATTGTGTTCTCCTTCAATACACTTAGAGATTGTTCATTTATGTTAGACTGTTGATTCTGAATTCTAAAAGTGCAAAGTAGAGACTACAAACCTTGAAATATATTCGAATTAAAGAATATGGAGAAACAGATTGGTATATAATCAGTTCGAGTATGAAAACCATTGCCTAAATATGAAGTAGGACTTTCGTCCAATTCCAACTAGTCAATAATTGGATTATTTAGTGAATTTATTTCGACAGATATCATAAATCTCTAATTGTGATCAAACAAGTCGGCATATGAGAAGTTTATCTCGTTCCATCTACTTAAACAAAACCGGAAATGTATAAATCGACCACATAATGCACTGGAGTTCAGTAATACACCTATTCAGAGAATAATAGGGAGGTAACTCCCTTTCTAAAAAACATGTATGATACACAAGAAGTGAGTAGTCACATATCACTGTCATACGCACATGTATGAAACATGCTCAAGGTTAGACGTCGTTTGGTTGACGAGCGAAAATATATGCGTAAACGAACAAATGAATGATGAAGAGAATTCATCTGTTCATAGGTCAGGATTAACCACGTAGGTCTACAACAATATCAATCACTACATGACCATATTTATAATAAGCATGTCAGCATGTGCATTACGGATGGAATCGGTTAATAATTGTCTGTTCAAAATAGGTCATGCACACATATTTTTCTTGCCGATATTGACTAAATTCAGTTGGCTCATAAAGAGTTGAACAAACGTGACATTAGTCACCACTCATTGTTCAATCGGTAGAGATTACCTCAATCATACAGGAAACCAGTCAGTATCCGAATAGCTCAGTCGTAACTTCCCTGGCTGCTCAACCGAATAATACGGATTCGAGTAGGTTAGGAAACATCAGATATGCGTTGCCGATTAGTGTCAAATAGCATAAAACCTAGGTATAGAATTTCATTCTGACTGCCTCCAACCACCCAATATTTCTATAAGCATACTAATTTTCTATTAACACATCAACCCACTATAAATAAATAATATATTTGTAATATCCCAATGAGTAGAAAAATTAGATTTTCAGACGTTTCGTAACCTGGTGTAAGCCACTTCTTCAGAGCATGAGTAACCAAATCAAAACCAATCGAAGTTTAAAAAGTACAATAAAACAACCTTGGTAATGATACCCATCACCCCACTATATTTTTCGCCATACATAGCAGGTGAACAATTATTTACCTCTGAAAACTAGTCCTATACTACGTTGATGAATACTACCTATACCGAAAGACAGAAGTAGTACACACCACCAGTCGTATGTGGAATGTCTATCAGTGGAAGATTGAACTGAATAGAACGGGATAAGAAACAGTGAAAAGTCGTAACAAAAATAAAATCCAAAGAATCATAATGAATGTTAAAGACAACTGAAAGATGTGCAAATAACGTGTTTTCAATGCACTCTGTAATTTCTCATCAAATATTAAATCGGTTTATCCCACCTGAGCTATTATATTGTGACGAGAATAATGAGTGGTAACTCTTGAGAACTATTTATGCACCAATATGATCCATATATTTTTATTGTAGAATTATTAAGTGGCTAAACGATGCATATTCATGTTCCTCTTATTAGAAAATTTATTTTGACTTATGGAATATTATTATACAATTTACCGTGATTGAGTTCTGTCCAGTCTGTTAATTATAGTCTCCCACATTCACAGACACTTTCGGCTACATGTTCTACAAACGTTATTTTCTATTTTATTGTGCGATGTGGTCTGTTTGATTTGTATCTGAACCCAGTATGTTTGAAGTACATGATTCATATCACGGACGCTGAGATTGGTGTTCTGGACTCAACAGGTAGGGCTAGGTAAGAAGAAGGACCAATAAGGACTATAGACTGCTCGCACGGGTTTTACTCATCATTGGTCCGGTCGATAACTCACTTTTCTCTAATTGGCGGTATCATTACGTCATATATCAATAGTGCACAAAGCCACAAGCTGTAACAAAGTCTTCTTACAATCCATTGACACATCTCATCAATAATTCAATCACTCCTCAATATTTGATATTTATTGGGTTCAAGACAGATCTATTTTTAACACGCTCTTAAATATGCGTTAACTAAATAGAACTACAATTTTACTGGTTGACGGCATGAGTCAATTGAAGATAGAGCACCATGGAAATCCTGGAATAACAAAAGCTCAATTTCGTGGATTAGTTGAAGTTACACATTAAGATCATTGGATCCCGGCCGGATCAGTAGTCTAGAGGTTGAGGGTACGTGAGCGAGACCGATTGGTCCAGGGTTCGAAACTCGCTTGTCCTGATCGTGGATGGGCACTGCTGAAGAGTCTCAATAGAAAAGAATGGCCGTCCAGTGCTTTCAGGTTGTCAATGGTGGTCTAGCTTCAATTGACCAATAATCTCAACTATTAAAATTCCTATAATATCCATAAGAAACCCATTCTCATATACATGTGTTAACTGAATAGAATTACAATGGTACAACTTCAGCAAATAATATTGTAAATAAAGAAAAGCTTAGAAAAATGGATAATCTTTATTTGTTAATCACTGAAAAGTAAACAAAACGAATGTTCGTAATATAGTTCACTGTATTAAAACAAAAGATTTGTGTGGAAATCAATTAATTATCAAATATATATGAGTGTCAATGATGATTGTTTCACTACGATTGTAAAATCGGATTCATTACTTTAGCTGCCATTATCGGCATTGTTAATTGTTGATCATATATAAAGCATATAAATGGATGAGTTACATGAAAGTCTACTTCTGGTATAATGGCTGAAATAGGCACAAATATAGGTGAAGTTACAGTGGTTGCTTCAATTCCACTTTCATTTAATTTCAATACATTTGTTTGAATGAATTCATTCACATATAGATTGTGATGAGTTGTGATACCTGACGGGGAAAGAACAAAGGCATGAAGTAATTGAATTAATGTGCTTGAATTTAGAGGTACACATCAACTCAACAATGCAAGTACATCGTGTTGATGAATATTAAGTATTATTCTATTGTTAGAGATTGATTAAATTTCTAAGATCATTTAACCACTGAATCTACTATTTCAAACATCCAATTCAATATCCACAATGTCAAAAATTAAGGAATGATTACATATTGAATCAAAGTTCCGCTTCTACTGAATTATTCTTTTCCAAAACTGCGGAATTTTTAATCTATGAAACAGAATCGATTGGATTTTGTTTGGGAGATTACTTCCAATACTACTCTGATGGTTACTTATTTTCTCACATTATCTATGACTAAGTATAATTTAGACGATGTCGAAGGTTAAGTCTTACATATTCATCAACTGTTCTGGTAATTATTATTACACAGCTCAACATTAGTCTCTTCTATTTCTTTATAAACATTTTGACTATATATGTGTGTATTATAATTGTGTTTGTATGTGTATGTATGTTTGATTATGGATTACAGCCGAAACGCATATTCTTCTCACTAGCATAAACGTTACTTACTTAAATTGTTTCACGATTTATTCGTTTTCCCATAAAATGTGTTTCTGTAGCCCATTCATTGATTTGCGTTCAAATTCTCATTCGTTCTCATTCATTATTAATCGCTTAGAATGCTTGAGATTCATACTTTACATCAATAAACTGTAGTAACCGCGTAGTATTTCCCTTTGAAATCTACTCATCTCTTGGAGTTATCTAACAACTATTATAATGGCAGGTGATACACGAAGCATTGCAGTCATCTTGAAGAAACTCCACTACTCATTGACTTCGAACGTTTGAATAAAACCACATAAAATATCTGGGCATAGAAAACATACTAGTAATCTGAGGTGCTAATATCCACTCGAATTCACAATAGAATAATCAGAATTGATAAAAAGAACAATGTATAATATTTTATGTGAATTTACCAACTTAGATATTCTCACCTGACAGATCAGATTTTACTGGATCAAACAAATCGACAACACCGATAGACTTTAATGTTGGCACAAGGTCAAGTGTATTCTTCAATGTAAATTTCGGTAATCGTAATGACACTGTAGTTTCTTTCAAATTCTTTACGTATTCACTCAAAACTTTATTACCATTCAAAAGTTCTGTGGCACCATTTAACGACCACTTTTCAAGAGGTAACACGATAACAAATGTGAAACGTGTGTTCTGGAGATGTTTGAAGAAAGAAAGTGCGAAATTAAATAAATGAGAGTAAGCCTGATGTTGTAACTTATAAAGAAGCAAGCACTTGCAAATGATGAGACCACATGAATTTTCAAACGACTGATTACTTTGAACAGGTAACGACATTACGCAAATAGTAAAAGAAAGAAGGCTACAGAGAAAACTGATTTACCACTTCTGAAATATTTTGGACTGGGTTCGTATCCATTTAAATATCCCCCATTATCATGGAACCCGTATGACTATTCGTGTGATCACCAAATTGGCGGTATAGGAATTATGTAAGGGCGGCCTAGGACAATTACAACAGTGGCCTCAGAGGCCTTAGAACAGCCGAAGAGTTTCATTCAATCTCAGCGCAATGGCGCTTTCCAGAATACCAACGTGGTATTCTACGTTTAGTCTATAAAACATCATGCCTCTTTGTGAATTTGTTGAATCATAATGTTGATTTCACAAACGCCAATATCTATAAATACCCGTAATTTTCGGTACATTTGATACTTGCCCAACAAGCACTTTATCCAGTCCACTTCTGTCTTCTCATTTACGACTTGGGAGGGTTCAAGCGTTCAAGTGCTCAGGGTCTACACAGTATATAAAAAAACTAAGCTCTAGATATAACAAAGTATAAAATTCTTTGTATAATTGCTGGGGTGAAAATAACTGTTCAATGTAAACAGTTTATTAAAAATGAGTGCAATCTCACATCGATAAGCCTAATCCGAAAAATCTACAAATAATCAAACATTTATGGTACCAAACTGTAGCACGGGTAAATGAACTGTTAATTTTCAAGTGAATGATACTAGATAAGGCACTTTCTCCACAAAAATAAATCTTGATAATCTGTACACTTTGGACTAAACGACTGTCCTGTATTTCCAGGTTTCCCATGGTCATCTAGGTTCATTTGACTCATGAATTCAACCATCAAAATATAGAATGAAAAGACTGACAAACTCAAAACATAACAGAAGTTAGAAAAAACACACTTTTAATTACTAACATTTAATGGTTTACTGACGATCTCAAATCCTTCATCTTCGAATTTTCCATACTTCATTACTCCTTCTTGAGTCATCATATCAACTGTTATTTGACGATCTGGTGAAATATCAAAATCCTCCTTTCTAGTGTAATGAGGCTCAAATGGACTTTGCCAAAAATCTAAAATCAACGAGAACTGTGTTATTTCGATGGATATGCAGTACAAAAATATTATCTTTTCATTTCACAGTATTTTATGAACTGTAAACATCCCGAAACAAATGACACTCTAGTTTGTTTAGGGGTATAATGGAATATAAAAATTGCTTTGCAATAAGACGTAGGGAAAAACATGTTAAAGCAGCATTAGAAATGATCATAATACTTTCTGACTGTAGTTACTTACTTATTTACCTACTCACTTACGCCTGTTACACCCCGCCGACTAGCATTCTCCAACTCAATCTGTACTGGGACTTCCTTTCTAGTCCTATCCAATTTTTGTTCATTTTCCTCATATCTGTCTCCATTTCTCGGAGTAATGTGTTCTATGATCTTCCTCTTTTCTTTTGGCCTTGAGGATTCCATGTGGTAGTTTGCCTCGTGACACAGTTGGCTAATTTCCTCAAAGTGTGTCCTATCCACTCCCACGGATTCTTCCTGATTTCTTCCTCCGCTGGGATCTGGTTTGTTCTCTGCAACAGAAGGTTGTTACTGATAGTGTCTGGACAAAGGATGCGAGGTATTTTGCACAGACAACTGTTAGTAAACACTGGTATCTTCATTTATAAGAGTTATGACGTATTGTGTTGAAAGCCGAGTTCCTTCTAAATCACGAGGATTATACCCCTTCTGACAACCAGAGCAACCATTAATTGAAGTACATGGAATGCTCGTACAATATGGAAGACCGGGAGAGTCATCCAAAGTGATGCAGAAATTAAAAGATACAACCTGGAAGTGTTTGGAACCAGTGAAATACATTGCACGCAGTTTGGGCAACAACGACTAGCTTCAGGGAGCTTCCGTTATACTACGGCACAAAATGCACTTATAGGATGGGAATCTCATGGATCCAGGATCATTAGAGCCTCCATCAAAACAAAGAACGTGAGCATGACAATGAACGTGATCCAACGCTAAGGGCCTGCCAGTGACTGCAATGAAGATCTTAAAGATCAATTCTACAATATTCTGCAGTCAATCGTCGAGAAGTGCCCAGCAAAGGATTTGACCATTGTGATGTGAGATCTGAATGCCAAGGTTGGAATGGACAACACTGGATATGAAGACATCCTGGGACGACACGGACTGGGAGAAAGGAACGAAAATGGTGAGAGATTTGCAAACCTATGTGCCTTCAATAAACTGATCGTAGGCGGCACTATATTCCCAAATAAGCGCGTTCACGAAATCACATGGACTTCACCGGGTCACACCACGCAAATCCAAATTGACCATATCTGCATCGGACTTGGTCCGTGGCGGTGATTGTGTGGCTTTTGGAAGCATCGGATTGTGAAACGTCCTCAATTTTATTCCTATGAGGATTTCTGCCCGCATAAAACATCACTAGGTGTCACTCTGTAAACGAAGACGTTTTGCGGTGTTTCCACTGGCGTCCCCTCCCCTTTCAACTTGATCAGAGCTCTCTTAAATGTATTCACAAATCTTTCTGCTTGGCCGTTTAATTGCGGCTGGTAGGGTGGACAACGGAGATGCTTGATGGATAACCGTTGGCAGAAATCTTGTAACTGCGTTGAGGTGAACTGAGAACCGTTGTCTGATACAACTGCATCCGGTGACCCGTTGCGAGCGAGCGTCTCCATCAAGAGTTGTATCGTTTTGGTAGTCGTCAGTGGCATATTGGGGAAAATTTCTGGCCATTTTGAAAAGGCGTCACTTTCGCATCAAATTTCGCCGCTTGCTGACATTGCGTGCGTTTGCCTACTAAATCCATGATGTGTTGGTCCATGAGGGGGCCAATAAGCATAGTTTCTGGCGATGGGTTTCATTCGTTTTATACCAGGATGACCAGTGTGGAACAGCCTTAACACCCTGGCACCACTACTCTATCTCCAAACATCAAGCACTCTTTCACGACGCATAATCAGTCTCAACGGTGGTAAAGCTTCTTCAAGTCACCATCGAGTCCAGTTGACGGCCAGCTATTGCTGACGTATCTCAACTCTCTCTTAATGATGGAGTCGTTCCTGGAGGAAGATTGTATTCTAGCTACCGAGACTGGCAAAGAACGAACAGCAGATGTCAGGTAACATTGCGCGTGGTCCTCTGTCATTGTGGAGGCAATAACTACATCTTCGTCGGCCGTACGGTGTTCGCTGATAAGTCGTGACAGGGCGTCTGCCTGACCGAATTGTTGAGTGCGTCGATACTGGGTCTCGAAATCATACCCCAAGAGTGACAAGGCCCATCTCTTAAGACGATTTGCAGAATGAGCTGGAATGTCAGATTTCGACTCGAATATTGCGAGCAAAGGCTTGTGATCTGTGAGATGCTCGTTTCTGGCTGTTTACAGAATATACTTCCCATTCCAAGCTCAGAATTCTCCCTCTAGTTAGCGGGGCTGGACGCATCAATAGCTAGCTTACTAGTCTTTGGTCACCAAGTCTTGTTCTCGTTCGCAGATTAAGTGAACTCGTGATAGCTTCAAACCTAGCACTTTCTTATGGTGATCGACTGGATCATGAAGACATCAACATCTTGGGGGTAGCATGG